GAGGCCATCGCTGCTAGGTTGGAGGCCATCGCTGCCAGGTTGGAGGCTATCGCTACTAGGTTGGATGCGGACAGCTGGCCTAAGGGCCTATAGCCTAAGGGCGAAATAGCTCCTAGTAGCTTCTTTGTTCCTAGTAGTACGGCCAGGAGCCCCTAGTAGTGTCCTTGCTCCTAGTAGCGATGCCAGGAGCCCCTAGTAGCTTCATGTCCCTACTTAGAACTCTTTCTTTGCAGACCTTTCACAGGGTCCATCCTTCTGGCAACTGCCAGGGCTTCTGAAGCATGAACTAGTCACGGTGTTGGAACTGCGAGAGTTGAGAGCTCCCACCTTGAACCTCTCCATCATGCCTTTCTGTACGTATGTACTGCAAAACCAAATGTATTTAGCCAATATACAGGTGATAGTGTACAACATCTGGTTGATCCTGGTATCCCAAAAAGGATGCTCCTTAATTACCTCTCCTTACCCAAACCAGTTCTATTTTGCCAAACCCTCAAAATCGGATCCGGCCGGTCACGGGCGTGAAGGTTGGACGCCTCGGCAACATCCGCCGGGATCAATTGAGATTTGCTGGCCAGCAGCAGCCTCCGCGAGTGGCTGAGCTGTTCGGTCAAAACGAAACATGTTGTCAACATGTTTACTATATTTGGATGAACCTCATTTTAGGAGACTTTTGCTGGTTACAGTAGATTCTGTTCATTTGTTGTTCCGGTGACCTGACCGACAAAATAGGTCTGGGTCCAAATACCCAAACCTGTGGCAAAAAAGACATCACCTGAGTCGACTCTGCTCTTCTTTGGGACGTGAACCGACTCAACTAAGATCTCCAACTGTGCGATCACTTCTGGCCATGGCCAGAACAGAAAAGGACGCACATCATGACTGGCAATTTTGTCTGAGCAAAGGGGTGCGTTGAGCAGTACCCTTCCGGTTTCGTTTGCCGGTGACAATCCCATGAATCTGGACCTGTTGGAGATGGAAGGATTGGAAAGGTAGGGTCAGGCTGACATGTTGAGGTCAAGCTACTAAGCATCTGGACGTGACGTGCCTGCAAAGGTGTTCCATGATCGCCACTTCGGTGTCATCCGCGGTCTCTGACAGGTCCCTGGGGGTGTGGGTGGCCATCTTACCTTGGGATGGTTTGGTGAGTGTTTCTGGTGAGGGCGTCCATTAAATTTTGGGGCAATGGCTATGGCAATGGCACACAAAATCACACAAAGCTCTTGCGGACAACTCAGAAACATCCTCCGAGTTCTGGTTTAGTTCAGTGGTCACTGGTTTCAGGCCAAGTCTCCAACATCCCAGTGTCTGCCAATCGACCACTTGTAACAAACACAATATTAGACCTCAAGGAGCATGACGACAAAACCTTTCAAATGAGCCTTTTCCTTGTCCATGACATCAGTGATCATGGTAGTTGACGGTAAAAAGTGCGGCTCGACGGTGTGGGGATAGCTGAAGAGCAAATGTCAACCAAACTCAAAGGCACAGGTTCATCGAAGTATCAACTGTCATTATTGGTTTCCACACCAGTCATGTCGAAATCCTCAATGGTCATTCTAACACGCACCTTCCGTATACATATAATATACTCACTAGCTTATCGAGGACCAAGCAACTACAATCCCCTTGGCCAAGCAATAATTGGGAACCACGGTCAGGTTCTTGACACTGCTAATGCTGAGATGCGCTCTAGGCAATCGATGAGCTCGCCCTTCAAACCCCTAATAGCGATGGCCTGCGACCTGAGAGCCATGATGGCCTCCAACCTACCATCTAGCGGTGGCCTCCCTGCCCCACCTCTGCTTTCGCTCCAGCTGATTGGTCATGACCTGAGGCAGGCAAGCAACTACTCACTCGTCGAGTGACTCTACCTACTAAGAGCATGTGGACAAACCTCCGCCGGCATACCACCTACAGCAAAAGAACAAATTTGCTGTCCTCCGGCCAACTGACAACACACTGAAGTGTGTCTGATCTTGACCTAAACTTGACAATCACCTGGGCTTCCCGCATTGTCGATAAAAATCGCCATAATGAGATTAAAGATACCCACTGTGACCTGGCAAAAAAGGCCAGGACACGCTGGTGAGTGCTTGAAGTCAACACCGCTTACTGAACATGGGATGTAAAAAAAAGCTTGTTTCACACATGTTTCCGCCAATGGTGCTGCTGCCCATGCACATCAGCAGGGCGCAAACACACGTCATTCACTCTCAGCTGTGGCACCAAAGATCGTCTTGTGACGGGAAACAACGACGACAACAACTGTGGTTCTCCTTGTGGTCTACTTTTGTAAGCCATAGCAAACACGCCTTGAGAAGGCAGCGCTGTTTATGCCACGTCCTTTTGAGCTTGTAAGGGACGCAAGTTCGATAACGAGACTGACACGTCCTTTTTACTGTGAATGGCATTCGGTAGCTGCTGGTTATTGAAATTTCCTTTGAGCTCTGGTAACGTAATGATGTTTGTGCTGCTGGAGTTTGCTCCACATCAACCCAAATCTCAAACGCATGACGCTGATAATCACACAGGCAACACAAGTACAACACATGATTTTGCTGCTGTCTGTAGACCACATGTGCACAAAATCAAAACAATATTGAAACTCCCTTGATGAAAGGCCTTGAACCTCAGGGCCTTTGTGTCGATGAGTAGTGCAAAATGTTGTCCATTTTCACGCCAACCCAAACAGACCCATCATGAGTCTATCAGTGACATGATCGAATGGATCACAACTGGACCGAAAATGTCAACAACATCAAGGCAAAGATCCGAAATGTTGTGGAAGGTCCATTGCCATCGGGCTCTCAAGTCCTTAGCCCTGAATCCAAGTGCAATAAGCCGAATCAAAGCCACGTGAGGCCATCCAAAGGTCACAAGCAGAATGTCGAAGGGCAAGGATCAATCAAACAACAAGCTCAACAGCGGGCACACTATATCCATATGTCGATGGCTATGAGACCTTGGCTGGGATTCAAATATTCATTCATCAGTTGTCCTGTCCTTCGACCCATCGCTGGCTGATGATACATTCACTCTCCCAGTTCCTAGCGTTCTTGTTACTAGTAGCGACGCCCTTGTTACTAGAAGCAAGATTGCTCCTAGTAGCGATACCAGGACCCCCCTAGTAGCGTTCTTGTTGCTGACAAATACATGAGGCAAACTTTGGCCACACAAATGTTGGAATACTTGTTCGGGGCAGTGGTTCTGTGGAAGGCAACTCTTGTCAGAATGGTGCAGGACTTTGTCCATGGGTAGAGTAGAGTCATTGTAAAGATTTGCAAAACAACGACTATTATAATGATAGTCTTAGTGCTGAAACAGGTCAGCGCCCGGCTAAAAAGCAAACAAACGCACTGCAACAAACTTTGTTGGTTGCCCGCTGGCCTTAGACTTGGGATCAAATGAACTGTGGTACTGGACTGGGTTCCTAATGCCCCACCACAGGTCAGTCAACCTCCCCTGATCGACAGTTGTCCTGGCTTTGGACCGTAGTCATACCCCACGGTGTGATATTTAAGCGTCGGGGGGTTCGGCAGTAGTTGGTCTTGAGTGGATTGAAAATGATTGAAAGCAGCCAGATCAAAGCGGCTGGAGTTGGATGTAGTCGGAAAAAAGACTATTTCAGCTTTCAACGCAGTGATCAAAAAGGTCGTTGCTCGCGTTCCTTCAGAATAGCACACCATGAGTCCAGCTACGACTAGATATGTTAATCAAGTAGTGAGAGGTCAAACCAAAAACAATCAAACCAAAATAGACCTGGACTACCCATTGGCTGTTTGGTTTCATGTCTTGTTGCATCATGTTGCATCAATGGCCTGCAGTTCAAGTTAAAGGTGGAGTCCCAACAAAAACAAAGAATCGATGCGACCAACTCCAGCCAACCACTCCGGTCAACATATTTTGGCGCACCAGCATGAACACCAAGATGTAGCCTACGAAGAAGGACTGTGGGTACTTCCGCATCATCCGCTCCTGACTGGACACGCAAATTCTTCCGATTCCCAGCAAATACAGTTTTTGTGTGGCTATATACAGTATTATGCAATATGAATATCTGGGTGTGCGACTCAAATACATTGTTCATTCTGCTTGTGAGTGTTCTAGATCTAGTGAATGACCAGCGCAACACGTGCTCTGACTCTAGTATATTGGCATTCAATGACTCTGACCCGTTGCCGGATTCAAACATCATCTGCCAAATCTAGTCGGATGAAACTTACATGTTGCATTATTTTGCTGATTCTATCTAGATGACCTGTCGTAGCAGTGCTCCTCTGACGATCGCCCAGATTCTTGGGGTTTTAATCTCATCCCTTGCCGCCCTTGCCCATGTCCTGGAGGGGGGTTCCGTCATAGGCAGTGCAGCCGTCTGTAAAGCAACGGAACAAGGTGAGCATCGATTCGGTCAGCGTCCCAAACTCTGGCAGCTCCTCCGAAACACCAAGCAAGGCACCAAGGTCTTGGGTTGACAGGGAACCAGTGGTGATCTGATGTGAAGTAGACCATGGTGGATCTGTGCATCCGGGTTCAGCCAAGAGTCCAATAAGAAACCACACAAACATCCATGCACATCATGTCACATTCCTAACCAAGTCTCACTTCCCCGTTTGTGAGGTTGCTGGACTAGTGGGATCTACCAAGAGGCCCAAAATGGAGCAGGATCAAAAAAAGTGACAAATGGAACGCATACTCTGGATGGATGCTGCTCGTGCACCGCATACCTGTTGGAATATCCAATGGAGCAATGGTATCCCGGTATCCCACTGTTGAGTACTTGAATTCTGCTCTTATTTCTACATGCCAACATTCAAGGGCCTAAGAGTTTCTTTTGACTCTTGAAGGTGAACGTGCAGGGGAAGAGCTGATATCTATACTGTTCATACATTGTCGTGGATGCTTGCTTAGGATTAGCTCACGGGACAAGACTCCTGTGGAGGAATAAGATTTCGCTTCCAAAACCGCTTCCCAGCTTGGCTAAAGCCCATCCTTTGATCTGGCACTTGTTCACCGCCTGTGTTTGCTCCACCAATTGAGGACAACAGCAAGCCCCGGTGACCACCAGATCGCACATGCTGCATCCCAGTTTTCCATATGGGAGTGACGAAGAGCGACTAATATTCACCAAAGTGCACCAATTATGACGACTAACCACTAATCATTGGATCTGTGGATTATTGGATTGGCCTTGTCTTTGGAACTGGTTCCCTCCCATCTGGTTCGTACTGGAACCATCATGTTTACTCGCTTGCTTGCTCACCAATTGTTGTTATCCTCTGACCCGCCATGAACATTGACACGAGAACTATGAGGAGAGAATAAGACCCCAGTCCCCTGCCCAACATCCACTCTGCCCGACCGGATCTTCTGCGATCAGCCGGAAGAGGGCCTGAGGTGGGATCTGAAACAAGGAAAATTGCCATTTGGACACTGTATATACTGTAGATACTACTGCGATAAATTGCCCTTGAAGGCCATGGCTATTAGGTTGGAGGCCATTGCTCTTAGTTTAGAGCCCATGGCTATTGGGGGAGGATACATATCTTGCATTACAAAAGGTTCTGATGGATTCCAACCACATGTGCACTATTGATGCTGCTACATATTGTTATTATCACCATGACTGTGGATCAGCAGTTGTTCGCTGTCGCTCCAAAACCCAAACCAAGGAATTTTCACTCATAGTTTGAGCTTTGTTGGGTGGTATGGCACCTCGAGGAGTCATGTTGTTCCACAGACCTGGGCATCTCCCACTCCCACGTTCCAGTGGATGGGACATTGAAGCACCATAGATCATCACATCTTGAGGATTCGATTCCTCTACACAATACGACTCATGAAAATGATGCCAAATAGCTAAATAGCCATCAAGTTCAAAGTCAAAGCTACCATGTCCAATCAAGGTGAAGCGCTGGAAACACTGGGATGCATTCGTAATTACAGAGTCCAGTCAGGGTCAGCCCTGCTGAGTCCTCCTGCAAGCTTCTTTGACAGACTCTGACTTTGGTTGCACAGACTCTGCGGTCATCAGTGACTTGTTCTTCGAAACAGTCTTCGGCTGATGGAAAGACCTTGAAACATACCGGGATCCGTGCCCTTCCCCATCTCAGATCTTGCGTAAGGATTTCAACTAGGCTCAGGCTCAGAACAAAGAAAAGAGATCCGTTGTCCAACCATGACCCGTTGTCCGAGATCCCAACGACACCCAGGGCGTAGACAAACACCAGCAAAAGGACGATCGCCTGGGACATAGAAATGGCATGAAATGGCTGTATTGCAAGAGGGGGACCCCAGAACCAAGCGGTTTTTGGCCTATCCTTTTTTTTTGTTAAAGGTCTCTTGGGGGAGAGAAATGTTTATGCCACACCAAATATTTGTCCAGTGGGTTTTGGTCTTTGTTTTACCAAGTGCCAAATACTTATCCATGCAAACACCAAATACCATCTTAGGCAAATAACTGTTGAATGCCCAACACTCTGTAGCACTGTGTATGAACACCTTGCTATGAGAGACCAATGAGCCCTTGGCCCTGTAGTATTTGGAACCGGAGAGATCAGCTCCAATGTGGAAATTAACTTCTCCAAATCATATATGTACTCCACATTTGCATGTAAGCTAGGCTTTGATGAAGGCAGCAAGCGTCGTGAGTAGGTTGCTATTAATCTGAAAGAGGATGATGACGTCTTCTGACTCTCTGACCTCCTGCGACTTGGGACTTGATGCTAAATGGCTTAATCTTCAAGTGGCTGCCCTTTGGTCTCTTACTTCAACAAACATGGAAGCTCACAGGTGAGACTGCCTGTGCAAGACCTAGTACATTACCTTGGTGGAAAAGCCCTCAAACCATCACACCCGCAAGACAAACATATTTGTAAGGGCAAGTCATAATTGTGAAGCTAAAACATGTTTGTGCTTGGCCGGGGTACTTAGCATTGGGACCACAGCGCTGTCATTCAATCGATTCAATGCAACGCTTCCAAATGCATACAATGATATACAATGCAAGGCATGCTGTCATTGGTCCGTGAGTTGCCAAGATGCCCAAACGAGCACCCGGATCCCAGAGACCACTCCCATAACCATCAAGTTCAGCTCTCCTCAATTCGCTCGGCTCGGTCTGAGTTACTAGTTACATCTAGTTCGACTCGGTGTCTGTTCAATGTGTGGTGAGCTCATGTGAGCTCTGTTGCTCTCGCCAAACATGACCCCTCTTGCAGCGCAAGATGAAGGGCTTCTTGGGAAGGACAGCAAGGCCAGGGGGTCTACACTTCAGGAGCACATTTCAGTCTCAACATTCTCAACCACAATCACTCAACTCTGAGAGTCCTGGTGGTTTCCGGACCCGAGCAAGCGGATTGTGGACTGGGTGTAGTATCAGGCGGGCTGCTTGAGGCAAAGAAAGACCTTGAATGTGTCAAGAAACAACATTAACTATGAATGGATATCAATGGTTCTAGTCCTGAGGAATAGTTTGTGGATGCTTTCATGGACAATTTTTGGTTTAGCCTGGGCAGGGCTTGTGAGACTTCAACAAACACCCCAAATCTTGCATTCATTTTCAGGAGCCGAAAAAAAACAGGATCTGGGGTATATATGAGACAGCCAGCCCTGCGAATACCCACAAGCTGAGCACAGTCCCAGGGGCGGAAGATGGGATACCGCAAGGCTCGTATGAGGCGTGCAAGACGAGCCAAGCGCAGCATCTTCAGAAGCATCAAGCTGCCCAAGTCCAACGTATTGCCTCGAAAAAGGAGGAACCCGATCGACTCAAGCGAGCGAGAAGGTTTGAAGGGAATAGATGTGGATGGAACCTTGTGGAGTATCTCAATAATAATGTGACCAGTCATATACTCACTTTTGCAATACTTGTATGTACTTGTTACGCATTTAGTACCATTCCATACCCGATGCAAACATGACCAAAATCCCTGCTCAAGAGTTCAAGAACTAAGTTTTTGGACACTAATAAAGTTACCCCTGTGGGGGTGCACAAATGTTTGGAAAAATTGACAATAACAATAATAATATAATATTATAATATATTATATATATATTGGGGAGATTGAGATCTTCAGTCTTCGCATGTCATGGCTTTCACGTACATCAACAAAAAGGTGGCCAGAAATGCTACCAAGTTCAAGGTGTGCAGGTTGTCTGCTTTTCGACAGACTAAAGTCCTAGATCGAGGAAGATGTTCCAGAGCCATCCCTACCCTTCCAGTCGCACCTGTTACCATGACCGCTGCCCTTACATCAGTTCACCACGTGGATACCAAACACACGAAGAAAAGATACACTGGATGGGTCTGGGCCGCCGTGAGGTTCCTGTGGGAGACCAAGACTCACAGAAGCTACTAGTAACAAGTGCATCGCTACTAGTAACAAGTGCCTTACTAGTAGTAACAAGAAGCTAGTAGTAACAGGTGCCACGCTACTAGTAACAAGTGCCTTACTAGTAGGAACAATGTTTGCTATTAGAAGCTATTAATTTAGTTTACCTTTTAATTAAAATCCACCGCCGACCAACTCTGGACTTGGTCAGGTCGCCTTCTCCCATCGCGTTGACGACCTGCGGTCGTCCGGGAGTATAGCTGAAACGCAGCTCAGCTTGATAGTTTGTTTTTTCTGTTGTTTGAATCATTTGCCATTTGTCACATCGAAGCTGCAGCATGGACTCTGGGCTACCTCATCAAATGAGATCCCAGCTAAGCTAAGCTTCAAGTTCCCTCACATTGGGATGATACACTATAGTCACCACCCGCGTGCAGCCGCTACTCAGTCACATCCATTAGATTTGATAGCCCCACAGGCGTTTGGACCAGTTGGGCATGAATGCAAGTGAGGAAGTACAAATGCTTTTGATCAGGTATTGACTTGTTCTTCCATTGTCTAGGAAACTCTGGGAACTATTCTGGCCACTCCAAGTGGCTGTCAATATCTCACAGGTAGGGCCTGACACTCTGCTGATCGACCAATCCGCTAAAGCAGGAGACGCGGAGTCTCGGGGAATAGTCACCAGCTTTTGCAAAAGACGACATCCATGCTTCGCATTCTGCAGATACTCTGATGGAACATGTTGCATTCTGAAGGGTGTGGACTTCAGTTGCACCCTGTTGCCAGTGGAATGCTGCGAGGGAACTACAGTTTCACCTCTGGCTCTTTCTGGTTCTACTATCAGCGATTCGGTCTCCTATCGCTTATCACAAATGTTCATTTCGTTTATCCTAGGTCCCGGTTCTACTTCATCCGGTCGATTCCTTTGACCGAGTCATACCAGTCAGAGCCCGTGCGCAAAATTACCTAGCACCTAAAGTCTCATGGACAAGAATTCTGTTGGCGACCAGCTACTTTGGCTCTTAAGGTAATTACATGCTGTCCCTCCGTCTCTCTCTCCCCTCTCCGCAAGTCAGGCCAACAAACCAGGGTTCCTCTTCCATATGCCACGCCTGTGTCACTGTGAAGTCAACCAGGGAGGTCAGAAGACAAAAGATATCCTGAGGCCGATCTGTACCCACACGAACCTGGTTGCCTCAACAGGTCACATCAGGTCACCAATGGCGATCTGAGAGGAGCAATCTGGAGACCCCCCCAATCTATAGCATGAGACAACTCTGGTTCCTGCAAGTCTGTGGGACATCTGGGCTCATCTGGCCTTCTTGGATTCATCTGCGGGTTCCAATCCTTTCAGGGCGACTCCATCGGATTCCGACTGAGGGGAGACGATTGAGGGGAGACCCAAACGTCAAAGGAGGACGGTTGCTCAGCACGTCAAACTGCAAGCATCCACTCCCACCCCAGCCATGAACGACTGGGATAAACGCCATAGTTATAAAAGCTCAACCTGGATCTATAGTGGATAGAAACTCAAAGCTACAGGTTCAAGTTGGGGGGCAGGAGCTTGTAAGCCTACTTAAGCAAATGTTCTGGCAAGTAGCCTGTATATTGTATATAGTATGAACACCTCGAAATTTGTATGATCGGCTAAGGCTAAGGTGAGATCATTGTCGCAAGACTCATCAGGCACCTGTCCAGGAAGACATGTCAAAATCGCTGGGACACGTGGCCACAGGGGGGAAACACGTTACCAAAGCCTGTCAGGAAATCTCCTTTAGCTTATCTTGTTTTTTTGGGCTAGGCCCAGACACAGTATAGTGTTATAAAGGTATGTTCCAAAACCTAAGGAGAGCACAGCATCATGGGGTAGGGTGCAATCGAGTGCCAGTGGATGCAATAGCCGACTTAGCTGACTTGGCCAAGATTGGCCAAGGCTTAGCTCTGACTTGGCTACAACAGGAACTCATCTCTGGACAAAACAGTCCAACATCAATGGGGAAACAAATAGAATGTAGCTTTCAGAAACAACAACTTCGGACCCTACACTTTCGCAATGAAAATCGGCCTGACATCCGTGGCAGCATGCTCCCAGTTATGTGCTAGATTGGCATGGTAGTTGGATGGAAGGACCTTTTCTGAGGCTGGAGCGCCAAATATTTGTAAAGCTGATTTAACGAAACCGTCCTCAACGAAAAATCTAGTCTTGCGTGCAATGCTCATGCGTCCCACCAGAGATTTTCCGTCCGGTCCGTTGATGCCGTCACCTCAAATTCCATGGGCTCGAGGCCCGTAGCCTTTCTAAATTATGTATGCCTTCCTATCCAGGCATCCGTGTTGCTACAAAGGAGGGTGGCCTAGGGAAAATGCGCTCGAGTGACTCACAATTGCTCACATGCCAGTGAGACGGTGTCTGATCTGTCCCAGCGTCGAACAAGTTCCACGCCCACTCAGGCCCCCTGGCACAAGAAGAATTATATATCATCGAGTTCGGGCGGAATTGAAAGTGCCCCCCACACCAGCTGGTTTGGTAAACCGTGGTAAGCCTGTACAGTATTGACCACAAAAAACAGTTTGGTTTATCGAATCTCCTGATCGAACCAAACATGTGCCATGTTGTTTTTGGAGTTAGTACTTCCAGTAACTCCATTATGATCTGCAGCCTGCAGCGACTATTGTTTGGCAAATTTACGCCATCCCCTGTTGTTTCAGATCCAGATTTCCAAGTTTGAGGGTGTACAAAAATATCTAACTTATATAGTTATGATAATAGCTATCATCTATATATATATAGCTACTTATAAGCTCACATATTGTTCTAGTTTTGTGGCAGTTCCCTTTGTTTGAGGACCAACAACACTAAAACCCATCGCATGATACCCCACTACTGAATATGTCGATTGGTAATGTTGATCCCATTGCACGAGGCTGGTCACACCGAAGCTCACACAGACTGCCGTGTTGAAACAATGTCGTTATCTTTCGAAGCACTCAACAGGTCCGCTTCCAGCCATTGATATGATTGATGCAAATGGCCGGGATTGGCTAGAGAAAAACAGAAGCTTTAAGTTGTGCGTTGACAGGTTGCAGACTTGTCGACTCACACTGCCCCAGAAACACAACCCCCGTAGTTTTGCAGGTATTGCTTGGTAGTACATCATTTCCTCCTTAAAGTTCTTGGAAATGCACAGAAATAGTTTTTTTGTGTGTTCTGTGGAGACGCAACCCCAGGCAGTATACATGGAATGTACTGCTTGCCCACCTCATAATCTGGTGGTGGATTCACATATATTCATGAAATGCTACAATCGTTCTTTGCTTCCGATCAGGCACACACATAGCTGAAATGTTTGGTTACAATTCCCATCAGAAATCGCTCCTCAATATCCGGGCACTGCTATTTCTAGGTAAATCATGGTAAATCAGTGAACATCACTAGGAGGAGTCTCCCCTTCGATCAATGCATGTTTCTTCATTTGGGATCTTCGGTTGACCCACGGCCTTTCCATGACCCACGGCCCGTCATCGTGCCTGGCCTGAAATAGCCTCGACAGCCCATGAGCCACAGCTTAGCCGCAGCCTCGATCGGCAAAACCGTTCAATCAAGTGAAACATGAACTGTTTCCCGTCAACTTTTTATCTGAAGTTTGAGGTGATCAAGGGGGGCTATTCCCCGACTGCCTGGTTTCAATGTTGAACATGTAACACGACCATATTAAAAAAACTACAGTACACCTTGAGACTCACTACACTCCTACTTTTGTATCCCGACAGGTTTAAATGACCTGACACCCACATCTTGGGTAGTCTTTGTTACTATAACTACCCAAGCAGGGCTTGGGGTGCCCTTTCGGGAGGAACTATAAGGGGCGGTTGTTCTTGCTTGGAACTTGGAACTGGGGGGTGGTACCAAAATTCAACATGGATACGACCCCTCGAACGGCAA